TCCTGCCACCCTGTACCCAGAGCTGGCCAGAAGCCCTGAGGGCCTTCAGTAGGGCTGACAGAGCAGACATAAGCCAGGTTGGGAAGAAGGGAGACTGTTCCTGGGGGTCTGTCTCTGTGCAATGGAGACTTACAAACTCTGGCTTCCTGGCAGTCTGTCTGCCTGCCTGTCCTGTGATCCCTCTGCCCACCCCACCCCCACCGGTGCCAGAGGCTGGCACTGCCTTGCAAGGTGCAGAGTGAGCCTGCTGCTTCTGCCTCTCTGGGCACAAGCCCCCAGCCTGGGGTGCCAGAGACTGTTGCTGGCATCCCAGGTCTCGGTGGTGTCTGTCCTGGGGCTTCCTTGGCCTCATTTCTACTCAGGATCAGTCCTCCCAAAACAAGGCCTTCCCAGGCACCCCTGAAGGATACCCCAGCCACACAGCCACCCTGTTCCTCTTCTGCCTCAGCCTTGCTCCATGTAACGGCCACCAGACTAATCCATGAGCATCCCCAGCAGGGCCCCATCCTCTGCTGTTTTCCCCAGACCCTCCCCAAGCTTCCCAGGGCCCTGGAGAAGATGTTCCCAGCTGCTTTGGTTGGAGCCCTCCCCTCTCCTGAGGTCCCCCTTCATCTTGCCTGCACCCTTCACCCTGAGATCGGGGACCCATGGGTCAGCTGCCGGCAGGCCCCTGCCCTCCTGTTAGTGTCTCCGCTCTTTCTTCCCTGGGTCCGCCGCTGGTTCACAGAGCACGGAGGAGCAGCTGGAGGAGCAGCAGCAGCAGGAGGAGGAGGTGGAGGAGGTGGAGGTGGAGCAGGTGCAGGTGGAGGCAGATACACAGGAGAAAGGTGCAGCCATCCCCCAGGAGAGTGATTGCTAATCCGAGCCGAGCCTCCCGCCCGCTCCCTGCTGGAGCCAGCCGCAGAACCGGCCCGGGGACTGCGGGGGGCGGGCCCACCAGGGTTAGCGCAGCGCTGCCTGGCACCTCACCTGCATAACCATCCCTTCTCTCACTTTCTCTTCGCAGCCCAGTCATCTCAGGATCCCGCTAACCTTTTCTCCCTCCCACCACCGCCTCCTCCTCCTCCGCTTCCTGCTGGAGGTCCTGCCTCATCTCCATCCACCTCTTCTTCCTCCTGGATCTCATCTGCACCTTGCCTCTTCCCTCTCTGCCCCTGTCCGGGTTTTCTCTCTGCCTGCTCACGCCTCCATCCCGGAGCCGCCCTGGTCCCAGCCTCCCGAGCCCTCCACCCAGGCCCCCTGGCCCTGCATCCCACAGCACCCTGCCTGCCGCCTCCTGCGCCCCTCTTGGCACCTGCTGCCTCCCAGCCTGGGGAGGGGCGCAGCTACACCTCCTGTGTGCCCACCAACCCTGCCGGGCATCTCTGAGGCCTTGGCCACAGCCCCTCCCGCCCTGCCCGCACCGCCTCCTCACGTCTCCTCCTTGCAGGTTCCTGTCTGCACCTCTCGGAGCTGAGGCCAAGCTTGAGCTTGCCGCGAGGGCCTCTCCTCGGCCCCTCGCCCACCCCCAGAGCCGCTGCCCCTGGTTTGTAGCCTGGTGGAGCTGGAGGGAGGGGCGGAAGCGAGGAGGGTGCTCAGCTCTTGCTCCTTGGACTCCACCCACCAAGTTTCTCAGCCTGTCTTGGCCAGGGTGTGAGGCCCTGAGAGAGGAGAAGAAAGTTAGGGGGTGGGGGCTCTTTCCTCCCTGCTGGTCAGTGCCCAAGCCAGGCTGGGCTGGAGGGAAGGAAGGCTGAAGCCACATGCACTGGCCTAGTCCCTGCACGTCCAGGAGTGCCTGCGTCTGCCTTGCAGCCCTGAGTTCCCTATTTCTATCGGGGTGGGGAGGACAGGCCACATTTGGATACCTTTGGCCTATAAGGAGTCAGCCAGAGCCGGCTAAGGACTGGAGTATGGCAGAAAACAGCCCTGGCCAGGCATCCATAAGCCCCCACTCAATGTCATCTACCTGCTCTGCAACCTTGGGCAAGTCACTGTCCCGCTCTGGGCAACCCTTGCCTCTAAAATGGGGACAGACAGCTGCTCTCTATGACTCCTTTCGCCTGGGACAGAGGTGACCTGGCTCTCCTGGCCCGAGTCTTGGCAGAATCTGGCCTCCCTAGGAGGCTACTGCCCGGCACAAGCTGGGGCCCGGGGCTCCTGGATGGGTTAGCTGGGGTGCCCGTCCTGCGCCCTCCTCCTCTGTTCTGAATCCACCTTCTCTGGGCCTCAGCCCCACTCCCCTCCTCCAGAAGGGAGCCTGTGACTCACCTGCCTCTTTCTCTCTCCCTCTCTCTTCCCACCCCTTCCTCCCTCCATTTCAATCTCCTCTGTGCCCTTCTCCTGGCCCTCATGTCACCCCCTTCTCACCCCTCCTCACTGGCCCCACCTCCTCCTCCCCCACCCTGGTTTTCTGCCCCCTCCCCCCATCCTCCTGCCCTTTTCCCTCTTATTTTCTAGCTGTTACAAGCCAGAGGCACCCGGATGTGAGGCCCCAGATCACCTCCAGGGACTTGGGGTTCCGATCTGAAATCCTTTATTTTTGTACCACGGGTGGGCCCCTGGCCCAAGATGGAAGAAGTGCTCCCCCCACCACCTCTGTCTGCACCTGCGTGCTGTGATTCACCCCTACCTCCAGGGGCGGGTGGGGGCCCACTGGAACTTCTTAAGGCCTGAGCTGGGTGCTGGGACCCCTGGGCAGAACCATCTGCATGGCCACATGTGGCGCTGTCCAGCTGTCTCTCCCAGGCCCCTTGTCCCCTCTCCGGGCCCCCTGCTGCATGGCGATGCACGCCCTCCCAGCTGAGTCACACCACCTCCTTGAGCCTTAGTCTCCTTGTCAGTCCAGTGCAGTGACTCCTTCCACCTACCTCACAGGGTTGTCGTGAGGCTGCAAAGAGAGGCAAGGACCCCACAAGCCCTGGGAGAGGGTATAGGGTTGCCCTCCCTTCACCTGCCCTGGGAGGGGGAAGGACCCAGTCTGATGCCCCCAGGCAGGACCCTGTTTGCAAACAGATTCAGGTTTGGGTCGGTGGTGAAGGGTGCGGGGATTTGGCCCTGCCAGAAGGAGGGATGGAAGGAGGGGTGTGTGACTTGGCCTTCACCCTGGCTGCCCCCTGCCACCCATTCACACTGCTGGCAGAGTGCTCTGGCTGGGGGGGGAGGGGGAGCGGTGGCTCAGCAGGGGCAGTGGAGTGACTCAGGAACTTGTGAGAAGGAGAGGGGGACATCTCCCCTCTGCCCGAGAATCTGGGGGTGGCAGGGGCTGAGCGACGGGCCCCTCCGGTGTTTATGGCCTCCCAGGACAGGTACTTGCTTCTCAACTGTGTCCAACCCTCCATGTAATAAAACCTGAATAAAGCCCGGCCTGGCTGCCTCCCTCTCTTTCTCTGCGCCACTTTTGGGGACAGGAGCTAAACTCAAGTTGGGGTAGACCGACCCAAAGGAATGGAGGGACCCTGTCCTGTTGTCACTTTCCTATGTGTGTTGAGGGATGGGAGGGGGGCATGGCTAGATCCTCTGCGCAATGGCCAGACCCCTGGAGCACCTACTCTATCCAGTTGATCCAGGGGAAACGTCCTAGGCTGGGAGATGAGAAGTGGGAGCTCGAGGCAGCACCCCAGGCAGCCTCTGCTGCAGCCCAAATCCCCCACACCCCCCTCCTGCTGTGACACCTCTGGGCCACCTCCACCCCTCCTGATTGCTGCCACCCTTCTGCCCCAAATCCTGGTAATTATAAACACCCTGGCCTCTTGCTCCAGCTTCTGAGTCTGCTGGACCTGAGGGCTTCTCTTTCCTGCCCAGCCCAGACCCCAGTCTCTCCACCCCACCTGGACCAATTCTCTCATCTCTCTAGTCCTGCCAAGCCGCCCTGCTGCTGGGAGAAACCCCTGCCAGGTCGTAACCCCCAAAACACAGGCCCTCCCCAGGCCAAGGAGAGCTCCTCAGCTTGGGGGACTTCACCACTTCCCCTGAGGACACTCCACTCCCAAAGGTGACCTCACTGTTTGTGTCCAACTTTGCTTACAAAGGAGTCACCACGAGATTTGTTAAAAGAACAGATTATTCCTCCTCCCCACACAGCTTCTGATTAATGAAGACTGGGGTGGAGCCCAGGAATTTGCATTTTAGCAAAGCACCCAAGGTGATTCCAACACTGCGTTCTGCCCACCCCCGCGTTCTGCCCACCCCACTGAGAACTGCATGGGGGTGGGATGCTGTCTCACCAAGCTCCTCGCCTGCCCGCTGGCTCCATCTCCTCCTGGCAGGACTAGCTGGCGTGCTCTCCCTGGTCTCTGTGCCCCCTTCTGCCTCATCCACCCATGTATATGGTTGCAGCTGCCTATCTCCAAAAACCCCTCTACAATCCAGGTTCCACTCTGAAGCTCCCTCCTTTGCTTCTCCTCGCAGTTGGGCTACAGGAAAGAGGTTTCCACACTCAACTCCCGCCACCTCTAGCTGCCTCCTGGTTCCATCGCTACTGCCCCAGAGGGCACCAGTAACGCAGTAGGTCCTTCTGATTCTGTGTTTAAACAACCCTCCAGTCCATCCCCACTGCTGTGCTGGGTCCAGCCCTGTCCTCTCCTTCCTGGAGTTCTGCAATGGCCTCCTAACCGGCCTCCCTGCCTCCAGCTCCTTTTCCAAGTTGTGCCAGTGGATGGTCCTACAATGTGAATCCATTTGTGTCACTCCTGCTATAGAGCCTTCCATGGCTCCCCATCGCTTTCAGGGTCAAATCCTTAGCTCAGCTCCAAGCTCTTTGTCCTCCCGCCTCAGTTTACCTCTCTGAATTCCTCTTTTGTCCTTCCCCACCTCAACCTTTGTTTCAACTAACACATGGCTTGCTGTTCCCTAATGTGCCACGTTCTTTGAGGACTCTGTGCCTTTGCACATGCTCTTCTCCTGACGGAATGCCCTTCCCCATCTTGGCCACCTGTGAACCCCAGCTCAAGTCTCACATACCCTGGGCAGCCTTCCCTGACTTCCCTGAGGAGCCGAGTCCTGCTCAGCTCTGGGGCCCTAGCACAGTGCTTGGCACACAGCAGGAGCCCATGAAATGCTTGCTCGGTGCCTGACTCAGGGCTGGCTGGCGGGCTCAGTTGGTTAGGGGGTGGTGTTACAACACCAGGGTCCAGGTTCAGATCCATGTACTGGCCAGCCACCAAAAAATAAATACATGACTCAGTGCAAGGGACTGAGTGTCGTGCTGGTGGGAAGCAGTAGACAGGGACCAGGGGACGGTTCCCTACCAGGCTCCACTGCTAACCCCAGTGCTATCATGAGGATGTCCTCGCTGCTCTCGGAGCCTCAGTTTCCTCCCAAGGCTCCAGAAGGTGCCCATCACTTGTCCCATTCCTCACTCTAACCTGAGGGTCCCCAAACCATTGCCTTCTTGAGGTTTCTCCCATGACCTGGGCAGCTGACCTGGGGGCTCCAGCTCTTGGTGGCCACCCCTGCCTCCACTGACCCCACCTTGGCCTTCTGGACACTTAGCGAACAGGCTGAGCAGGAAGCAGGGCCTGCTTCAGTCAAGAGCGTGGGCTGGTGCCTGGGTCCCCATTCAAACCCCAGCAGCAGGGCCTTGGATCAGGCGGCTTTATTCCACAGGGCAACTGAGCTCACCTCCATGTGAGTCTGGGCAGTGAAGGCCCGGGTGGCAGGTAGGGGTGGGCCAGGGACCCTGGAGCTTCCCCACCCTTTGGCTTACGGTGGCAGCTGGCCTGCTTGGCAGGCTCCAGGGCTCTGAGGATCCTCTCCCATGGGAGCACCTTTCACCCCCACCTCTCAAGTTAGTCTGGGGGCTCCACAGGCTGAAATCTGCTCTCTGGAGCTGATGCCGCCCAAGCAGCCTCTGTGCTGGGGAGGGAGGTGTCTCAGACGCTCCTGCGGGGACCTGGAAGCCAGCACCACTGCTGCTGAACTGTGTCCCCCCACAGACAGCGGTGGAGAAAGCAGAAGGAGGAGAGAATTGAGAGGCAAAAGGGCTGGATGTGAACCCCCAGTCGGGCCTGGTGGGTCTGAGCCCTCTGGGGAAGTTTTGGCCACCAGCTGATGGCCCTACTCTCTCCTCATGCGGTCACTGAGGCAGATGTCAGGAGTCAGCCTGGAAGACAGGATGCCACCTCCTTTCTCCACAGGGCCTGCCTACCCCCAGAATACTTGTCTTCCTGCCTGGTGGGTGTCCTGGGCTCTCTGAGTCCCGAAGGTGGGCCCCAGCTCTGCAGGGAGCAGCTCGTCAAGTCAGCACCTGCTGGATCCAGCCAATCACACCTGTGATGCGGGTATAGACGCCAAAGTAGTTGGGCCGGCCACAGCCCAGTCCCCAGCTGACTAGCCCTGCCAGGAACCAGCGGCCACTGGGCACCTTGCACACCAGCGGGCCACCTGAGTCACCCTGAAAGGGAGAGAGGAGAGACAGGGCTGCGTCAGGGTAAGGAAACACACACCCCCACCCTCCACTTCCAGGCAAGTGGCTCTTGGGTGCAAGTCCTGACTGTCAGGAATTTTCTGGGTGCGGACAAGAAAGTCACATCCCTTGAAGCTCTGCTTCCCCCCCAACCTGCTAAATGGAGAAAGCCCAGACCAGCCCTGACTGGCCTCCAGTGGGTCCTGGCTCTTGTGGAACCTTGGATGTGTGTCCCCACGCCCCCCCTCTACCAGTGCCTCCCTTCTGTGGCTGGCACCCCTCCATTCCTCCTAGCGTCCTCTCCTTCATGTGGCCCTGGCCCAAGTGCCTCGTGGTGGGCAAGGAGCAGAGTGGGGTTTGAGCCTAAGACCTGCCTGCCCCTGGGTGTCTTCTGATCTGTGGCTCTGCAACCCTGGGCAAGTCCCTCAACCTCTCTGAACCTCAGTCTCCTCATCTGGAAAGTGGGTACAGCCATCCCCACTTGCTGGGAGGCTTCAGCAAGCTGATGGCAGCAAAGGGCCAGGCCCTGGGGGAAGTGAGCACCACCCTCTCTCCCTGCTCTCACCCGTGCCCCGCACGAGTCACCTGGCAGGCGTCCTTCTTGCCCTTGGGGTAGCCGGCACACAGCATGCGTGGTGTCACCTGGTAGCGATAGGCCTCACTGCACAGGTCCTGTGGGATCAGCTGCACATCCACCTTCTGCAGAGCATTGCTGGTGGGGCCTGCCCATGGGGTCAAGAGCAGAGGGCAGAGGTAAGAAGGTCTGAGGTGCCCAGGAGCCCCTGCCCTTCCTTCCACTGTTCTCCTTGAATATCAGGAGCCCCCTTCATCTCTCCTGCTCTGACCACCGCCCCTGCTAGGAGTGACACCTGCCCCTCTGCCTCACTGTCACTCCACTCTGGCTCCCCTCTGCCTAACTCAATGTCTAGGGTATTGTAGGTGCTCGCAAAGGTGTCATTGAATGAGTGAGTGAGTGAACAAACCAGTGAGAGAATCGGTCCTTGCTTTGCCACTACTCTCTGTCATCCTCTTGGACAAGTCACTTTTCACCTGAGCCTCAGTTTCCCCATCTTTAAAATATTTCTACAGTCCTGCCTGCCAACAGATTATAAATCATCGTACACATTTTTAAAGCTACCACCACGAAGCCTGCAGGGCATGGCTGCAGTTATGCCAGCTGGACCTATGTTCACAGAACTGAGAGGTGGCCTCTAGGGATGGCCAGCTCTGATCAACTAAGGCAGGAAGGGGAGAAGCCCCCTGTTTCTGAGAGCAAGAGTAGGAAGAGCAGGGGCTCTCTAGTCAGGCGGTCCTGGGTTCTAGTCTCTGCTCCAGTCCTCTCTGGCTGTGTGACTTTGAGCAACCACTAAATGTCTCTGAGCTTTGGTTTCCCCATCCATAACATGGCACCCTATAACCCACGCCTAGAGATGTTGGGTGGATTATATGAAATCATGTTTCCCCAAAATGCAGCCTCAGTGTGGGAAGTGCTAATAAGTTCAAAGGAGCAGAGCGTTGGGGCTTGAGCATGCACTGAGGAGTCCCTGGCCTGCCCCTTCGCCCCTCACATATGACCCACGACCTTGGTTCTCCTAAATGCCTTTCCAGAAGGAAGGGAAGAGTCAAGAGGGTAGGGGCCATTGGCCCATGAGCCATATTAGAAGGTTGTTTTCTTCTGTAAAATTCAGCTCAGTTGAAGCCTAGGAATAGAGGGTCTCAGGGGTGGAGCCCTCTGGCCCCCTGCCCTGTCCTCCTCCAGGCCCCACACCCATCTGATCTCCTGGTCCCCGTGGCCTGTGCGCTCACCGCCCTCGCGCAGGGCACCCCAGCCCGTGATCCAGCAGTGCAGGCCCGGCTCAAAGAAGTGGGAGCGTGCGGGCAGGCAGACGGGGCGCACGGCGGCCGAGCGCACCACGGGGTGGTCGAGCTGCAGCAGGGCCACGTCGTAGTCGTGGCTGTCC